TTTGTTCCAGCTGCGTTAGGGCTATTTATATAGTTTGATTATGCCCTCCCTTCATTTTTTTCCTTTCTACCAGGAGAGAACCTCCCTTTTCTTATATGCACTACTGTGGTTTCCACGAAGATTACTGATTTCCCTCTGAATCTCATCAACACTTTGTTCATTTCAATCAGGAATTGAACACCTATATTTGGACTTCTAAAGAGCAGATGGTCGCCCGGCCAGCGTAGCTCAGTGGTTGAGCATCCACCTATGAGCCAGGAGGTCACAATTCGATTCCCAGGTTTCAGGGTCAATCTCCAAGTGTGAAGCATTCAGGAGGCAGCCAATCAATGACTCTCTCATCACTGATGTTTCTCTTTCTCTTTCCCTCTCCCTTCCTCTCTGAAATCAACAAAAATACATATTTTTAAAAAGCAGATGGTCATTCTCTAGTTCTCCTTTCCAACAGCGACTAGAAGGTCATATTGCTATTCTGCAAATCTTGAATCAAGAGATGTTACTGTCAACTCACCCTTCATTACAAGAATAATTAATTCTGGATCCAAGGTTGATGTCTGTGTCTATGTGCAGCATGCCATGCATAAGATCTGCAGGAGTTTTACATACTTTACCTGTGGAAAAGAAACAGAATTTTGGAGCCAGGTAGAGTAATCTGAACTTTTGTAGTACAGAAGGTCTCAATGTGACCGTAACTTACTAAAGAGTACATGAAATTCTGATGGTTCCACAGATTTTCGCCTCACCAGATGTCTCAAGTTCAGCCACGTTCTAAGCACCACTTTAAAAAAGACCTCCCACCTACATCTGTCTTATATCTACCTCAAATTGCTCAACAAAATATAGAGGTTAATTATAGCCTTGTATACTACCAATATAATTCTTTCTTCCTACCTGGTTATTAAAACAGTGTATGTCTCCTCACAATTTTTTTCCTGGTCTGAAGTTGTTCATTACTTACTTTCCCATAAGGAATAGGTTTTTTTCCCCCTGCAAATATTTATTAAAGCAGTTTCATGAGCCCTGACTGGTTTGGCTCAGTGGATAGAGCGTTGGCCTGCAGACTGAAGGGTTCCGGGTTCAATTCCGGCCAAGGGCATGTACCTTGGTTGCGGGCACATCCCCAGTAGGGGGTGTGCAGGAGGCAGCTGATCGATGTTTCTCTCTCATTGATGTTTCTAACTCTCTCTCTCCCTTCCCCTCTGTAAAAAATCAATAAAATATATTTGAAAAACAAAACAAAACCAGTTTCATGAAATAAACATTTCAACTAATAATTAGGGATGACCTACAACAACAACTCTTATATCCACCTACCTGGACACTTTTGAGAAGTAGAGTTTTATCTCTAAAATTTGAAAAAAGTTGAAGAAGATCCTATGGATAATTCGATAGATATGGGAAGCTCCAATACAGGTTTTACTCACGTTTACAGACATCTTGGGCAGCTGACCACTCCAAGTTGGCTAGACACCAGATAGAGAATGTCCTCCTGTAGTACTCAGGGCGGCATTCATACTTTAAAGATGTCCCAATAGGAAATGCAGATTCATTGGTTTGGGTTTTCAACTCAGCAAATTGAAAATGATCTGGAGCATTACAGTAACCTAAAAACCAAGATATCAAGAACATCAAGTTTTAACATAGAGATACCCATGCCTTTCCTATCTCTATCTCTATCTCTATCTCTATCTCTATCTCTATCTCTCTCTTTGATTTGATGCCAAAACAAAAGAAAGTTTTAGTTCTGGAAAGATAATTTCCTTGTAACCTTGGGAGGGAAAGTTCCATTAGCACCTGCCTATTGGAAAATATACTATCTATCTGGGAAAGTATTCTGCTATCTGGTTAATTTGCTCATATAATTTGCCATCAAAGACAATTTCAATTCAATTTTTCACATTTTTAGGGAGCCAAAAAAGGTTCTTCTGCTCAGGTTTTACCATTTCTTTCTGAATGCATGGGGTCTTGAGCCAAATAGGTAATTTCCTTGTACTTCAGTGAATCAAAACCCCAATGGAGGTTTCACAAACATTAATGGAGAACTCAAGGTATTTCTTGAAACTAGGAAAGGGCCATGCTACCTATTTTGTAGGTCTGATTCCTAAGTAAACCATTTCAACACAAGGAGGAAATAAGTAGCATTTCCTTAAAATAAAACTAACAAAACTACACTTATTATTATAAGAAAAGATTTGTTTGAAGTGTAAATTAAATCAAATTCTAGCTTTCGCTCCATGCTCCTATGGCCTATTAGATTTAGGGTCAAATAATGTGAATCCAAAACAGTACAAAGCTTGGAAAAATAGAAAACATATGCACATGGTTTGGGCAATACCTCCTATTTTATCTTCTCTTTCGGCTGCCCTCCACCTCCTTTCAGGTTATTTATTCAAATAGTTATGGCTATACGACAGCCAGTTCTGCACCCAGAGCATTTTCTGTTGGAGGATTTGCAGACCAACTTCTCATCTCTTGAAAGTAATTCACTGATTTTTCTCAAGTTAAAAATGTGGCTTATTTGAAAGGTTTTTTATAGGAAATTTATTCGTCTATATTACCTGTTTAGTTTTATCTTAGAGCTTAAATATTAGCTCTACTAGCTAATTATTTCAAAGAGTGCCCACCGGGACTGAAATTTACTACTACGGCCAAATCACACACGAAGGTAGACTGGCAGGTCTCCAGTCTAAAAAATCTAGCTGATAAAACTAGAGTTGCTACCTTAGATAGGTTTCTAATGAAAAAAATAATCATAAAACTTAAGAGAAGAATGTTTCTCGCTATCGATTCAGTAACTATGGACCAGGTCTCTACCCTGGTAAACAAGCTTCTAAGTGCCTCCCAGATTGAAGCTATGGTGAGGGAGGAGGAGAGTAGGGCCAAAATGACTTCTGAGTGACTAGCACACGGTCCTTTTCCTTTTAGATTTGTTCTTTTCTCTCAGAGCTTCCCAGTGGTCAGTATATAATGTCCCTCCTACAATTTATTTTTTCCTTCCTGTATTCACTTGCTCAAGGTTGATGTCTCAGGGGGTTGGGTATCTTAGGAAAACTTATCCAGAAATTAACACTCTATTTTTTGCATTTTCCTTTGTGGTTTTCTTTGCACCAAACTGAGAAGATTTCAACAACTAAAATAACTGGGGGCAAAGGAGCAAATAAGCCTTATTTTAATGTAGAGCTTAGGCCAAATTGGCTACAGCAATCTATGTAGTTTGTCTATAATGCAGCTCCATTTTCACAGAGAATGCACAGGGGTCTTGGGTCAAATGGGTAATAAAAAGTGATTTTGCCTGGCCTTATTCTCTACTGAACTGTGCTCCCCTCCAAAAACTATACATGGCATAACTTATGCTAGTTAAGGTCCATAGGTATTTGCTTTCAATTTTTATGCTTTGAAAACATTTTTCTTCCAATGCTAGTTATAATTAGAACTACCGCCCACCATCTTCTCTTTTCACCAACTCTCTAGCAACAAACGTCATCAGACTCCTATGTGTTAACACATCTTAAAATCATTTATAACCGATGTTGCATTTAATTGTGTCAAGTGCACAAATTAGCATGATGCTGTCATTGGAAGATTTTAGAAGATCTGTTTTAGATATTTCTGGAGCCATTTGGGACGGGGCATAGTATGTACTGACCTGGATGTCCACAGCGAGGGGCAGGGCTGCTCCAGATCCCGTTCCCTCGACTGTCACTGGTGCAGCGGATGGTGCTCTCCCCAATGAGACTGAAGTTCATCCCTCTGTCTGGTTTGGGATCACATGTGTAAGTTACTTCTTTTCCAAAAGAAAAGATTTCCAGAGGTTTTCCTGTGTGTCTTCCGTTAGGAATATCTGGAGGATTTGGACATAAGATTTCTGGAAAGAACGCAAGAGCTATTAGTTTCGTTGAGGAGCTCCCACTAGAGGTATTCTACAGGCATAGGATGCTGTGGTTGGTGCTACCTAGAAAACACCCATGACTGTATCTTTGCTGTAGGTCTTTGATGAGATGGGCTAAATGAAATAAGATCTCGATCTCATTTTTCTTGGAAAAAGTACAGAAGAAATTTGCTTATCTTGAATCTTCCTGCTAGTTAAGTCTTCTGGATAAAGCAAACTTAACACCCTTGACTTAAATACCAAGACTTTTAAAGGATAATAATAATCCTTTAGAGGATAATTAGCTCAACTACTTGAAAATATTACTTGAGCACATACTCTGTGTCAGTCACTCATTGGAGCCTGGAATATGGTGATGAAGAGCACAGATAAAGTCACTGTCCTCCAAGGAAGAAATTTTCAAGAAATGTTTTTACAATGTATTCCACGTGTGCTAATCACCTTAAAGATGTGAAACTTTTCGATACTGGCCATCGATCTTGATTATGACAGTGTGCTGACACAACGAAATGAAGCCTCTGCGGTCACTGTAAAAATTCTAAGCAACTCAGATTGCTTTGTTTTTTAAAATGTATGGATCTGTCTATGATAGAATTTTCTTCTTTACTTTCTGTCAGGCTTCCACTTGTTACCTCTTTCTAGTATCTGCTTGTCTGTATAAAACAGGCCCCTCCTCACTTCTAGTTGGCATTTCTAACTAGGCTTGGTGTTTTGAGGAAGCTACTTCAATAGTAAGAGTCATGAAAATAAGATGTCCAATCAATAACTGAGCTCTCATGCATGCCAGTATAACAGCCACTTATCATTCTCATCAAGAAACACTGGATAGCAGATAACAGTATGTAAGCTATGTTCTCATAAGTTTTACTATAAAAAGCACATTTTGATGTCTGAGTAGATTTCTCGTAACATAAACATTGTAGTAAAATGTGATTATATATATATATTAAAGTCTTTATATATATATATATATATATATATATACATATATATATATATATATATTTAATATATATATATATATTAAAATCTTTAAGGTCAAGAGATGAAGCAAAATCTTGTCTTTATTGAGCAAAATATAATTGGGTAGAACAGGAGAACTTTCTATTGACCCTACACATAGGAGAGTCTTTTTATTTTTAAATCCTCACCTGAGGATATGTTTTTATTGATTTGAGAGAGAGAGAAAGAGAGAGAAAGATTGAAAGAAAGAGCGAGAAAGAGAGAAACATCAATGTGTGAGAGAAACATCAATTGATTGCCTCCTATACACACCCTGACCGGAGTGGGACCTGAAACCTAGATATATGCCTTGACTGGGAATTCAACCTGCAGCTTTTTGGTGTACAGGACAATGCTCCAACCAACTGAGCCACCCAGCTGTGGCAGGAGACTCATGTTTTAATCAGCTTATTACTTCTGAATCTTTCAACATAATTTATTTAAGTATGTGTTTGGAGAGTTTAAGGAGTCTTAAACTGCTTACCCCATGTGATGTTGCTCCCAACTTTCCCCTCATTCTTTCACTGCTCTGATCTGTCACTTCCATAACATTTCTTTGTTTATTGTTTTTCCTGACCATCTCCCCACTGGGGTATAAATAACATGGGGACAGGGCATTAACTTATCTTGTTCACTGCTATAACTCCAGTGCTTAGGAAAATACCAAGCACATAGTATGTCCTCAATAAATAGTTGTTCGAATGAATGCATGTTTCATATTTTCATATTAGCCAGTAGATAGAAAAAATGTAGAGTGATTACATCCTGATATTAGAAAAAGAAAAGAAAAGAAAGAATTAGGAAAGGAAGGAAAGAAGAAAGGAAGAAAATTGTCAAAGCTTCACATTACTTAATCTCTCCTGATCTAGAGGCCAACTACTGCAGGATATGTCACCTAGAACCAAGAATTCAAAATAACAGGGACAGACAAAATGGTTCCCAAAACACATGATGTGCAATAACGTGCATCACAACAAATTGATCACAAATAAATACTATTTAAAAAAGCAACTATATCTCAATAATTCAGATTAGAAAATAGAAGAACCCTATTGGGGTTGCCATAAGTCAAAATACTAAATAGGTTAAGGGAGGAATTGTCCTAAAGTGTTATTCCTTCTACTCACGTTCACACACAGGGACACTGCTATTCCAGAGGCTCTCCATTCCAACCAAGACACAATGGCTGGCAGAGCTGCCTTGTAGATGGAATCTAAAAAAGAAAATGGTAGTGCATAGGTGAGCTGTTTCAGTTGGCAAAACTCTGAGGCCTGGCTGAAAACCTTAGCATCCGAAACCAACAGGTGGCAGAAGTTTGGAGGCCATATTGATCTAGACCAACAGTTCTGAACCTGTGGATCGTGACCCCTTTGGGGGTCGAACGACCCTTTCACAGGGTTCACCTAAGACCATCAGAAAACACACATATAATTACAAATTGTTTTTGTGATTAATCACTATGTTTTAATTATGTTCAATTTGTACCATGAAAATACATCCTGCATATCAGATATTTACATTATGATTCATAACAGTAGCAAAATTACAGTTATGAAGTAGCAACGAAAATAATTTCATGGTTGGGAGTCACCACAACATGAGGAATTGTATTAAAGGGTCGCGGCATTAGGAAGGCTGAGAACCACTGATCTGGACAAATCACAGCCTCCAGTTAGGGAGGACAGTTAGTTGGTCACATAACACATAGTTCCAGGCTGAATTGAAGAAGGCAGTCAGAGCGTAGCAGCCATCTCCTTGATCCTGGACCAGATTCTGAGAAGTGAATCTCTAGCTGATCATCTCAGGATAAACCTGATAAATGTACTCCTCATATGGGAAACCCAGTCTTCTAATGCAACAGACTCCTAATTCTCCTAATTCTGATACTGAAACAGTGAGTAAAACAGTTCCCAGGTTGGATGGAAAAAGCAGAGAGTACCTGGAGAGAGCACAAGATTGTCCTTTTGTCTCTATGGCTGTGATGGCTGTGAAGAAGGCACGTTGGGCTATTGAGTAAGTTTGAATACTAGGCCCTCTAGGGGAAGGGAACGGAGATCAGAAATGACTTTTGTATGCAATCATCCAGAATGGTCAATGTATGTGGGACCCCGATGGCTCCTAAATCTTATTGGCTGCTGTCATTGGGTGCCTGCCAGGATTCTTTGAAACAGTCTAAGGTAGTGGTTCTCAATCTTCCTAATGCCTTGACCCTTTAATACAGTTCCTCATGTTGTGGTGACCTCCAATTTCATTGTTACAAATTGAATATAATTAAAGCATAGTGATTAATCACAAAAACAATATGTAATCATATATGTGTTTTCCGATGGTCTTAGGTGACCCCTGTGAAAGGGTTGTTCAACCCCCAAAGGGGTCGTGACCCACAGATTGAGAGCTGCTGGTCTAATGTCTGGTGCATCTTTGCTCACACTTAATCCTTCCCATGCAGAGATGAGCACACTGGGAAGAGCACCAGGCTCACATGAACAATGTCGTTACCTAAAACAGTCACCAGCCACCGCGATTCCATTTCAGAGCCGCACATGACTAACCAGAAGATATGTGATTAGATTAAAATACCCATTCTTATGCTTTTACTCTTATGCCAAATTTTCCTTTTGATGGTTAAAAAATGACTTAAATAATTCTAAATCCTCTTAAATCTTTTTAATAAGCTCTTTGTTACATATCAAACTTTTCTTGGGACTCTCCAAACTCTTCTTCTTTTTCTCTGCTTGGAAAGTATTATTTTTTTCAATCAATGCATCACATATATATTCATAACCAGTCATTGTATTTGTCTTTATACCAGCCATTTCATATATGTCCCAATTTTTCCTTCATACCTCATGCTATTTTTTCCACCTGTTCCTTACTCTTACTTTTCTTACACACTTCCAAGATGTAATCCCCTGAATTCATTTTTTAGCCACACCAAACCTTCCCTTTCTGAATTAACTTCTAACTCCAATTTTAGTAGCCAGGGGGCCTGGCAAGCTCACACTCACCCCTCATCACAAACGAAGGACACTTTTGCTCCAAGCTCGAAGTTAAGTGGAAAGAGCACATGGCCATTAGGAAGTTGGTCCTTGAAGGCAGCACATGGTTTCACTACAGAAAAATAAAGGAGGAGTAAGACCACTATGTGAGGTGCAAAGACATTCATCTGCAGAAAGGATGAGAGTGAGTGTAGGCACCTGCGCATGTGGGGGCGGCCGGGCTCCAGTCTCCCTGGGGCGTACAGCGCAGAGAGGCGGCCCCTCGGAGGTCATAGCCGGGCTCACAGCTGTAGAGCACCTCCTGCCCAGGGGAAAAGCTGTCCTTGTCGCTGGGGCTGTGCTGGCCATGCAGGATTTCTGGAGGCCGCTGACAAACTGGGGGAAGAACAGGCACAGCGTTCCTGTCAGTTATGGGGGAATATTCTTTGCTAAATCTTAACTCATCCAAGGAGTCAGAAACTCATAAGGAGAGGGGTCCCGATCTAACAAAGGGTCTCACACGTGCATTCTATTCCTGGCACGTGATTTGGACAATTTCTTTAACCTCTGAAAGACCAAGCTAACTGCACTGTCAGATGGATAAGAGAATAGCACTATTTCTAAGGAGGATTGTACAGAGTCAATAGATAAAACCCAGAGAGTGCTCATTACACAGCTGACCAGAAGGTTCACATCCTTTTTCTAACTAACTGAGAGCTGGTGCTTTGCCCTGAGAATTGCTCAGTAGGAGCCTCCCCAATGTCCCCGTCCCCGATGAATTAGGCTCTTGCTTTTCAGGATGAAGGCACATTCACTGGAGTGAGGGCACCCACACACCTTCTTCCTTTCATGCTTCATGCTTCACCCCTAGAAAATGTACTCACCCTGCTCACCACACATCTCCCTCCCAGAACAAACACTAATCTGGGGGGCCGCCCACAGCTCCTGTCACCTGCAGGCCCCCTCGAAGCTTTAGTCAGACTCACCCGGGGAGCAGCTGGGCAACTCGGGCTCCCATCTGTTTTGGGCCCTGCAGCGCACACTGGAGGGGCCTTTCATGACAAAGCCAGGCTGACACCTAAAGCTCACGATGTCATTTAAGAAGAACAAGCTTCTGTTCGCAGACACCCTTATTCCATTTTCAACGTGCGGAGGCGTGCATTTATTAGGTACGATGCACTGAGGGGCAGGGCCGCTCCAGAGGCCCACTTGATCTTTGCTGGTGCAATGTATTGACATCGCGCCCACGAGTTCAAACTTTTCCCTTCTTTTTCCAGGATCGCAGTGGTAGGTCACCACTATTCCGTATGGAAAATAGTCTTTGCTGTTGCTAATGAAATATCCGTTGGCGATGGTTGGTGGTGGCTTACAATGAATACCTGGTGAAGGGATGTCAAGTTAAACAAAACCTCAATTTCTTAAAGTTATGTTTAATTATAAATGTTAGGAACCAGATTTTAAAAAACCCAAATTACCAAATATGAATTTTCACAACACTTCTGCTCTTGTCGAATCTTTTCTAACATACAGACTTTTTGCACAACTGTAGATTTGGTAATCACAATATGATGGCTCCTGCTCTTCTCCATGAACATTAGTTCAATAAATGTCTATATATAGTCCTCCTGCTTCTCATGTTACATGAGAACTTTTATGTTCCTTCACTATTCTTAATTCATTTATCTTGCTATAGAAGGCAATTGGCTTTATTCTACTGCTGAGTAATATGATGTGGCATTCATACTAGTATAGCATCTTTATCAAATAAATAAACACAAAAAGCTCTGGCTCGGGTAACAAAAATATGCAATATTGCCCATGACACAATATTGCCCATCACGGATTCAGAAGTAATAAAAATAACTGACTATAAGTTCTAGTGACTAGTCTATGCTAAAAATTTAGAAAAATGTGAATGTTAGGGATATAGATATTTTTGCCAATATTGACTCAGGAAATGGTAGAATAGAGAAATGGAAAAAAAATGTATCAAAAATGCTACTCCTACAAAGATAGGAAGCACAGATAATTTTATAGACTAATATAATCTAACATCTAAGTATCAAATAACTCCTAGGCATTTTAAAGCATTCCCGAGCATATAAAATCTTTCTATCATTTCTACCTTATAGTAGGAACACTTATTTATTTTTACTTTTAAGAAAATATTTCAGATGATATTTCTTGCAGAAAATTTATGCAATATAAAAAATACCTTTAAATCTATTATCTAGAAAGAAACACGGTTAACTGTTTAATGTGTAATTTTTAATATATATACATACCATATTTTTTCTAAAATACCTTTGTTGGCTTAATAATATTTCAGTGTAAGAATGGTCTATCTGATTCCACTTGGAAGAGCTGTCTTTCTTGGCTAATGCATTCTGGCATATTTTAAATTTTTTCTTTTTCTTGCAGAACACATACTTTGTTCCTTTATTTTTCCCAATATATGTGTATTTATTGCATTGGAAATAATATGCCTATGCAAAATACCAATGTATTAAGTGCTTTAAAAACAGATAAACAGAAATTTTTAAAGCACAAAATAAAACGAAATATATTCAGAAATTGTCTTTTCTTCCTAATTTCGAAAGGATCACCTCACTTCTGTTTAACTACCATTATTTCTGAAACATTGTTTGAAACATGCTCAACATTTATATTGTTTTGGCTTTTTCACTATCACAAACAATAATGTAGGTAAATATTTGTATAGCAATATTCTTGCAAGAAAAAAACATGGTAATTATTTTTTAAAGAATAAATCAGAAAATATCAAATGTCTCAATGAAAGGCATGTAGACAGTTAAGGGTTTTGACACCTATTGTATATTGGCCTTTTAGAAAGTTTGTTCCCACTTATCCTACCAGCCTGTGGCTGTGAGAGTATTGATTTCTTCACATTATCACCAAACCCAGGGGTGTATCCTCTTGATATTCTTGGTTAATTTGTGATTGCTCATTGCTCTTCCTACCCAAAGTGTAGGAAGCTCACATTCCAGACAACTCCCAGGAAGACAGCATGTCACTGTTCAAAGAATAAGAAGGAAGGGAGACAGCCACTGCCTCAATATATGACCTGTTGCTAAGAGTGGGCAGAGAGGAAGCTGGGCCACTTTCACTAACTTTGTGTTGACCTCACTGAAGACAACGATCTTCAAAATGGGAAGTGTTCAACCAAGAAAGGAGGAAGTTGGGGGCTGTTTTAAATTATACCCCAAGATAAGGAAAACCCAGGAGGAACTAGAAGTTTGGAACATTGTGAACACTTTTCAGAATAGGACTCTTGGTTCAAATATTGGAAGGACATCATTGCCAAGATGGATGAGACGGAGTCTTCATAATTCTAGGGGCACGATGCTAGGGTGCTCGGGTGAACTGGTGGGATCGATGGGAAGAGATGTTAACTCACGCTGACAGAGTGGTGGCTCTGTATCCCAAATGGCAGTATTGTTTGAGATGATACATGTGGCAGATGAGTGGCCAATGAGTTGATACCTAAAGGCAAAAAGTGAAAATGATTCCATCCACCTCCCATTAACTTCCTCACAGCACACATACATGGCAGATTCGACAAAGTACAATCTGGGAGAAGCCTAAGGACCAGCCTAACCTCCACCTGTTCTATCTGGGTTTCCTTATTTCTCTTTTCCTACCCTCTGACTATGGAAAGGGATATTTCATCTTTAATTCCTCATGGCAGTACTCTGCACCTTAATTTTTGACTTCATTGTGGATTGTATCAGGACCAAAAATAAAATAATCCTCTTGTAGACCAGTTTGCTAATTTCTTAAATGGTTTTTTTTCTCATATTTTATTGCCATTTTAAAATTTGTTTGCATTTTTCTTGATATACACATATAATGAACCCTGCTATGTAACTTTAATGTAGGCAAGTTTCTTGTGTTTGATGCTTATAATCCCATTTAGAAGCCTTTGTCTTTCAATAGGAAGATGAAACCATTCAGAATTCTGGGATTAAATGGTGTTTTTGATCTTGCTTTTGTCATCATTAGTTAGACTACCGGTTTCATAGTGTCCAAAGATGAAGACGCAGCAATGAATAAGACACATCTGCCACAGACAGGAGGGACTTATTTTGGCAGAAGAGAGAGATACATTCCTTACTGTTCCCTTTTCCTCCTTCTTATTTTCTATACTAGAGGCCTGTTGCACGAAAAGATTCATGCAATAGGCCTTCCCTTCCCCTGGCTGCCTGCACCGGTTTTCCTTCGGCTCTGGGGACCCAGGCCTTCTCTCCGGCCGAAGCCGCCTTCAAAGCCTTTGCTGCTCCGGACCTGCTTTGATCACTGCTCCAGCTGGAGCCGCCTTCAAAACCTTCCCTGCTCAGGCCGGAGCTGCCTTCAGTCTTTGCTCCACGGCTTGCCGCCTACATATGCAAATTAACCACCATCTTTGTTGGCAGTTAATTTGCATATCTCGCTGATTAGCCAATGGGAAGCGTAGCGAAGGTACGGTCAATTACCCCATTTGTCTATTATTAGATAGGATGAACCAGATAGGTGAACCTCCTTTAGGTGCTCTATTAATTGGGAAGTTAACTAGTATCCAATTTTATTCCATTAGAAATTTCATTTCATGTGCATATATAGTGTATTTACACAGCACATATATTTAAACCTATTTTCTCAATTTTAATATCAAAATATATATAGTTTACCCATTCCCTGTGTAATAGAAGTCTAGTGTATCTTGTCTTACTTTCTTTCATTTTCTGGTTTTATATATACATTTTATGACTTTGGAGGTTGTTATTAAATTATTATTACATTGCAAAGTTTTACTTTGGAACTCTTAGTTCTGTCATTGTATTTGGTTTCATAACTGTTGAAAATTTTTCGCCATGATTTTTTAAAATTTGTTTTTACAAATTTTCTACCTCACTGATAATACTTTTGTACTGTTTCATTTTCCCTTTACAAAATTATTTCTGGATTGCCTGGATTTATGTTTTTTTTTCTTCCCAGAGTATATACTTAAATAGTGTAATTATTTTCCTTCAATATATATTTAGAGCCTCTAGATATGAATACTATCTTGGCTCATTAGGACACTATCTTCTGCAATTTAGTGATGTGAAGGATCACTGTTATCCAATATGCATCCATTTCTTTTTCAGGTTTATAGTTTTTAATTTCCTTCCTAAATTCTTAAAGTTTTAAAGACATGTTATTTTTATTTTTAAAATAAATTTATTGGGGTGATATTGGTTAATAAAATTTTATCGGTTTCAAGTGTACAATTCTATAATGCATCATCTGTATATTGCATTGTGTGTTTGCCACCCAAAGTCAAATCTCTATTCCTGAAATACAGACTTTTCCCTAGTGATGGCTAAGGTATGGCTTATTATTCTCCCTTTGGGAATTTTTGTTCCCTGTATTTTTAACCCTCATTCTGTCTGTTTTAAACATAGCTTCTCTTTTGTATTTTTTCTTTATTCTTTTCCACTAAATTCTGGAAGAATTGGATTAATTTTTTCTTACTTTCTGCTTTAATTTTCTACATAATTCAGTGTGTTTATCACAGATTCTTTTTTTTAGTTTGACAATTTTGCTTTTCATTCATGTGCAAACATTCCCAATTTCCAACTAGTTTTACAAAAGCAGTGTGCAACTGAATCTTGTTAAAAATTTAACCAGGCTATTTTCTAAAAGTTTTCCCTGACTCTTGGAAGTAACTGTAAGGGGAAATTCTTTTTGATTATTCAGATTGGTCTCTTTTACACTATTTCCTGAGACTTATCATAAGCTCAGTGGTTTGCTGGTTCATACCATGGACAGTCCACTTCTATTTAGTAAAGCAACATGAAGAAGGTACAGTCAGAAAATTTATTGATTGTACTTTAAAAAGCTCACAGAAGGAGAGAAGTGTTTAGATTTATTCTAATTTTACTTTGTCAGATTACAGGTACTGTGGTCTGTGAGGCCTAGAGTGGCAAATACATATGTCAACGACCACAAGTGATTTTTCAGTGCTTACCTGGCTCAATTGTAGCCCAGATTCCCTGATGGGCTCCACTGCTCACACAGAGAACGTGATCAAGGGTCCACTGTATGCTGAGCAAGGGTAAGCACCAAGGGCAGGACCACTGACCAGTAGACACTTTATGACTGACATTTTCACAGGAGACTCTGCTATAGGGTTGAACAGTGTTCCTCACAAAGGTATGCTGAAGTCCCCATGAGTGTGACCTTATTTGGAAATAGGGTCTTTGCAGATGTAATCGAGTCAAGATGAGGTCAATAGGGCAGCCCTAATCCAATATGATTGACATCCTTATAAAAAAGAGAGAACTTTGAACATAGATCCACACAGAGTAGAAACACAGATACAGAGGGAAGATAGCTGTGGGAAAACACAGGCAGAAATGGGAGTGATGCTGCCACTGCCAAGGAAGGCCTGAGGCTCCCAGAAGTGGGCAGAGGCAAGGCTTTGGAGGGAGCCTGTCCTGCCAACACCTTAATTTTGGACTTCCAGCCTCCAGAACTGTCTGAGAATAAGTTTCTGCTGTTCTAAACCACCCAGTTTGTTGTACTTTCTTATGGCAGCCCTGGCAAACGAATGGTGCAATTACCTTTAAGATTTATTTTCGCACACAGCTGCTCAGTGGCCTTCCTTTTGTTCCAGCTGCGTTAGGGCTATTTATATAGTTTGATTATGCCCTCCCTTCATTTTTTTCCTTTCTACCAGGAGAGAACCTCCCTTTTCTTATATGCACTACTGTGGTTTCCACGAAGATTACTGATTTCCCTCTGAATCTCATCAACACTTTGTTCATTTCAATCAGGAATTGAACACCTATATTTGGACTTCTAAAGAGCAGATGGTCGCCCGGCCAGCGTAGCTCAGTGGTTGAGCATCCACCTATGAGCCAGGAGGTCACAATTCGATTCCCAGGTTTCAGGGTCAATCTCCAAGTGTGAAGCATTCAGGAGGCAGCCAATCAATGACTCTCTCATCACTGATGTTTCTCTTTCTCTTTCCCTCTCCCTTCCTCTCTGAAATCAACAAAAATACATATTTTTAAAAAGCAGATGGTCATTCTCTAGTTCCCCTTTCCAACAGCGACTAGAAGGTCATATTGCTATTCTGCAAATCTTGAATCAAGAGATGTTACTGTCAACTCACCCTTCATTACAAGAATAATTAATTCTGGATCCAAGGTTGATGTCTGTGTCTATGTGCAGTATGCCATGCATAAGATCTGCAGGAGTTTTACATACTTTACCTGTGGAAAAGAAACAGAATTTTGGAGCCAGGTAGAGTAATCTGAACTTTTGTAGTACAGAAGGTCTCAATGTGACCGTCACTTACTAAAGAGGACATGAAATTCTGATGGTTCCACAGATTTTCGCCTCACCAGATGTCTCAAGTTCAGCCACGTTCTAAGCACCACTTTAAAAAAGACCTCCCACCTACATCTGTCTTATATCTACCTCAAATTGCTCAACAAAATATAGAGGTTAATTATAGCCTTGTATACTACCAATATAATTCTTTCTTCCTACCTGGTTATTAAAACAGTGTATGTCTCCTCACAATTTTTTTCCTGGTCTGAAGTTGTTCATTACTTACTTTCCCATAAGGAATAGGTTTTTTTCCCCCTGCAAATATTTATTAAAGCAGTTTCATGAGCCCTGACTGGTTTGGCTCAGTGGATAGAGCGTTGGCCTGCAGACTGAAGGGTTCCGGGTTCAATTCCGGTCAAGGGCATGTACCTTGGTTGCGGGCACATCCCCAGTAGGGGGTGTGCAGGAGGCAGCTGATCGATGTTTCTCTCTCATTGATGTTTCTAACTCTCTCTCTCCCTTCCCCTCTGTAAAAAATCAATAAAATATATTTGAAAAACAAAACAAAACCAGTTTCATGAAATAAACATTTCAACTAATAATTAGGGATGACCTACAACAACAACTCTTATATCCACCTACCTGGACACTTTTGAGAAGTAGAGTTTTATCTCTAAAATTTGAAAAAAGTTGAAGAAGATCCTATGGATAATTCAATAGATATGGGAAGCTCCAATACAGGTTTTACTCACGTTTACAGACATCCTGGGCAGCTGACCACTCCAAGTTGGCTAGACACCGGATAGAGAATGTCCTCCTGTAGTACTCAGGGCGGCATTCATACTTTAAAGATGTCCCAATAGGAAATGCAGATTCATTGGTTTGGGTTTTCAACTCAGCAAATTGAAAATGACCTGGAGCATTACAGTAACCTAAAAACCAAGATATCAAGAACATCAAGTTTTAACATAGAGATACCCAATGCCCTTCCTCTCTCTATCTCTATCTCTATCTCTATCTCTACCTCTATCTCTCTCTTAGATTTGATGACAAAACAAAAGAAAGTTTTAGTTCTGGAAAGATAATTTCCTTGTAACCTTGGGAGGGAAAGTTCCATTAGCACCTGCCTATTAGAAAATATACTATCCATCTGGGAAAGTATTCTGCTATCTGGTTATTTTGTTCATATAATTTGCCATCAAAGACAATTTCAATTCAATTTTTCACATTTTTAGGGAGCCAAAAAAGGTTCTTCTGCTCAGGTTTTACCATTTCTTTCTGAATGCATGGGGTCTTGGGCCAAATAGGTAATTTCCTTGTACATCAGTGAATCAAAACCCCAATGGAGGTTTCACAAACATTAATGGAGAACTCAAGATGTTTCTTGAAACTAGGAAGGGGCCACGCAACCTATTTTGTAGGTCTGATTCCTAAGTAAACCATTTCAACACATGCTATTTTAAGTAGCATTTCCTTAAAATAAAACAAACAAAACTACACTTATTATTATAAGAAAACATTTGTTTGAAGTGTAAATTAAATCAAATTCTAGCTTTAGCTCCATGCTCCTATGGCCTATTAGATTTAGGGTCAAATAATGTGAATCCAAAACAGTACAAAGCTTGGAAAAATAGAAAACATATGCACTTGGTTTGGGCAATACCTTCTATTTTAGCTTCTCTTTCAGCTGCCCTCCACCTCCTTTCAGGTTATTTATTCAAAATGTTTTGGCTATATGACAGCCAGTTCTGTACCCAGAGCATTTTCTGTTGGAGGATTTGCAAACCAACTTCTCATCTCTTGAAAGTAATTCACTGATTTTTCTCAATTTAAAAATGTGGCTTATTTGAAAGGTTTTTTATAGGAAATTTATTCGTCTATATTACCTGTTTAGTTTTATCTTAGAGCTTAAATATTAGCTCTACTAGCTAATTATTTCAAAGAGTGCCCATCGGGACTGAAATTTACCACTAAGGCCAAATCACACATGAAGGTAGCCTGGCAGGTCTCCAGTCTAAAAAATCTAGCTGATAAAACTAGAGTTGCTATCTTAGATAGGTTTCTAATGAAAAAAATAATCATAAAACTTAAGAGAAGATTGTTTCTCGCTATCGATTCAGTAACTATGGACCAGGTCTCTACCCTGGTAAACAAGCTTCTAAGTGCCTCCCAGATTGAAGCTATGGTGAGGGAGGAGGAGAGTAGGGCCAAAATGACTTCTGAGTGACTAGCCACACGGTCCTTTTCCTTTTTAGATTTGTTCCTTTCCTCTTCAGAGCTTCCCAGGTGGGTCAGAAAATAATGTCCCTCTAACAAATTTATTTTTTCCTTCCTGTATTCACTTGCTCAAGGTTGATGTCTCAGGGGGTTGGGTATCTTAGGAAAACTTATCCAGAAATTAACACTCTATTTTTTGCATTTTCCTTTGTGTTTTCTTTGCACCAAACTGAGAAGATTTCAACAACTAAAATAACTGGGGGCAAAGGAGCAAATAAGCCTTATTTTAATGTAGAGCTTAGCCCAAATTGGCTACAGCAATCTATGTAGTTTGTCTATAATGCAGCTCCATTTTCACAGAGAATGCACAGGGATCTTGGGCCAAATGGGTAATAAAAAGTGATTTTGCCTGGCCTTATTCTCTACTGACCTGTGCTCCCCTCCAAAAACTATACATGGCATAACTTATGCTAGTTAAGGCCCATAGGTATTTGCTTTCAATTTTTATGCTTTGAAAACATTTTTCTTCCAATGCTGGTTATAATTAGAACTACCGCCAACCATCTTCTCTTTTCACCAACTCTCTAGCAACAAACGTCATCAGACTCCTATGTGTTAACACATCTTAAAATCATTTATAACCGATGTTGCATTTAATTGTGTCAAGTGCACAAATTAGCATGATGCTGTAATTGGAAGATTTTAGAAGATCTGTTTTAGATATTTCTGGAGCCATTTGGGACGGGGCATAGTATGTACTGACCTGGATGTCCACAGCGAGGGGCAGGGCTGCTCCAGATCCCGTTCCCTCGACTGTCACTGGTGCAGCGGATGGTGCTCTCCCCA